TTATTGATAAGCACGAAAACAACTAGAACGTAAAAGAATAGAATCCGTGCTACTGAATCTGGCGAACCCCGACAACAGCAACACGCGTGGCCTAACACGGGAACATAAAATTTGGCGCATTTTCCTTCGGGCCAAATCGCATAAAATGGTGAACTGCAAGGTCATATCTGCACCGGTGTTTTATTTTTAAAATAGACTGTGCGAAAAGAGACCCAACTGCATTTTAGCTTTATATGATTTGTAGAAGAATCACACGCCACCCTCTTGCATAAAGACAACTACACGGTGGTGCAAGCCTTGTTTTATTGGGAAATCTGGCAAAGGTGTAGCATAAACCTATTAAACTTCTGTAGTTATGTTGAGTCCAAGTAGAATGATCCAAGATATATTAAAAGAGTTAGGTATTTTTCTTCCAGTAAAGCATTTAAGATGGGTATTGAGGGAGGGTCGGTGGTACATGGAAAGAAAAAACATTGAATCTCATACTGCTACTATTGGTAATATGCTCATAAAAGTTCTTTGGGAAGAAGGCATTTTACACCTTGCCTAGGTCCCCATATAGTCGGTTATGTCTGAGATTTCTTTGGATTATCATTATTATTATTATTCAAAAATCCATACTCGGCCCCATCTCGGCCAACCCACGTTCAATAAAGAAACCACGAGAAATGTCTAATGAAGTGATCAACATCCAGCCAAATGTCACCTGCAACGTCCGATCTCATGAGCCGTCGATTGCACCCTTGGTCCATTTATTTGATGAATATAAAATGGTTCACGTATACCGGAATGTCCTAACGTGACCGCTTAGTGACAATCTTAAGATTTTCCCTCGGGCCTATCACGTCGATATCTTTAAAGTGAAATAAAACTCGTTTCTCAATTAGAGTTTTCTTGGAAAGGGATGGGAGTAGCATGACTTCTTGAGTACAGTTAGATTATTAATGAGTGTTAATCATCTGCAAAGATCACTCCGATTTGGAAAGGAGTGGCATTAAAACGCCTGTGCAGTTGGCTGCTTGTCAAGGTGACGAGACCCCGCCCCATTGGCTGTCTGTCAAGGTGACGAGATCCCGCCCTATTGGCTGTCTGTCAAGGTGACGAGACCCCACCCTATTTGGTGTCTGTCAAAGCGAGAGACACCGCCCTATTGGGTGTCTGTCATGTTCACGAAGCCCCGCCTTCGAAACGAACACTGATGGTACAACTGCTGCGTGATGTCGTATCTGTCAGTATGCCATGGAGGTTTGTTAATGAAATCTTTTTATCAATAGACCCCACGCGTCTCGTGTGACAACTGTTCTTCTGGCACATATTGGTGTTGCTTGCCCACTGCCTTCGGTAAAGAGAGGCCAAAGAGCAATAACGACAGCTTGTCACCTTGGCTGCTTCTCAGTCGTGCTAATTACTGAATGGACCACGCTGCAGAGCTGGCCGATTCAGTTGTCTTAATGGAGGCGGGTGATAGGTGTACGAATTTATACGAATTCTGATTACAAATGCTTTAGAGTCCTATGCTCTTGTTGATGAACTGTAAATTGATACGTACGTTTTTAAGTATGCAAAGTAGACAGCCCAGAGGTTAAATTTTGTTTTAAACATCAAAGTCATCGCTGAGGTGATACTTATAAGTTTAAGTGTGTTAAATAGATTTTACATCTCAATACTCGACGACTGCGGTCTCAACCACATATTTGAAACAAGAGAGGCATGCTGTTCAGATTCTTGACGTGTACGAGATATAAGAATCTAAACGAGCGTTTGACTTGGCGCTTGATCCAGTTTGAGAAAAGTTATTTTTTATATGGAATGTTTTTGACAAAAAAATCTTAACCATTACATGTTTTACTTCCCGTATCAAAGCGAAATCATTCAACCCATATTCAATTTCAATAAAAAAAGCTGTCAATTAATACTAAAGGGTTTTAATAGTAACCTCACCAGGGTATACGTTATATTTTCTAAATCCTTACATTAACAAAAATGCATAATTAAGCTTTTGGTCGTGATTATGCCGTTAAGCATTATGTAATATTATATCAAAATTGACAAAATTTGGCAACCGTGTTACGTACGTATTACGCATTATCTTCAAACCTACTGGAGTGATCCATAGCCCTTCGAGTTCAAATGCCTGCTTTATTGGACCATTTTTCACGAAACACGAGGACCGCCTGGCACTGTCGTTGCAGGAAATGTTCTGTAAGCAAAAGTACAGCCTATAAAATACATAAGTGCAATGTAAATTAAAACCTTTAAAAGTACATCACCCACCAAACAGGTTTGAATAACAGTGTTCAGTTTTTGCTGTGACAAAAATTTGCGAAGAAATAGTAAAGTTGGCATTGAATATTTATCTTGATGTTTGTCTTAATTAGTTTTGGTTTTAAATGATTCGATGCATGGTTTTTTGTTTTATATGTGAGTAGACAAGTCCTCATCAGTCTACATAGTGTTTTTCTTTATGGTAAAGATGTAACGCGGTTTAGTATACATCCCTCTTCACCCTTACCTTTATCATCTGATGACTTCATATATTTGTTCATGCCCAAGAGCAGGCATCTTTATAATTTACGAATCTCTGAATGTTTCATCTGCAGGAGTAAGAGATGTTGGTAATACGGCGATGATATGACAGTTGTGTTATCTTCGACTTTCTGTGCCTTGACGCTATAGGCAACGTACTTGTGAAAAAAAAATGCATTATAAAATGAACGTAAAAAAAGAGTTGGCACCAAGACAGTGTCTACTTAATAGGTAATTCGAAAATAAAAAAGCTCGTTGTGGAAAAAAATCAATATATTAAATGCACACCAGTACTTCAATTATATAACAGTTAGAACTGACAAGGGGTGCAGCTGATTATGGGATATTGGAAAATAAAAGAGCGCATAGAACATGCAGGCTAGAACATCCATTGTATTCTCATTCAGATGTATCAGTTGGTACCAAAGGCTGTGGCACAGCTAGTAGCAAGACGGGCGTGTAGACGTAATACGCTCACAGGCAAGTCATTTAATTCATATTAAAGGTATTTTGGGTACATTAGCACTTCTGTAAGATGGTTCAAAGTGTCCTTATGTTCATACACATTATTAGCTTGTAAACTCGTAAAAGTCAAAGAATGTTTCTAATAGTTACCTAGGGCTGGACATCGCTCGTGGGTTTGGTACCTTTGTAATTTGGCTGACGTTGACGTAATTAAACCACACAATTATTTTATTGTAAAATTACTCGTAGCCCATGATTTATTCAGTAGAGAGACAACATTTGGCAGGACGTAAGATCCAATATAGTATGTATGCAGAGGAACAGTCTCAATTGTTAGCATTGTCTGTAGCTGCCAAGCCTCATGAATATGGGTTCACTAGGATTTGTAACATTACATAAACTATATATAGACTGCATATATGCACTGAAATCATACGATGAAAGCAAGCCACTAATGGATGAGAAGTGTTTCAAAATTCTTATGATGGCGAAGCGATTGATTCCCCCTCAAAGTTGTCCATCATTATCAAAGTCAAACTTCCCAGCTATTTATATATGCTAACATGTGAAAAGCATTATGAACGCTTGGTACCATCCCATCCCTTCCCATTGACCAATCTTCCTAGAGACTTCTGACCCTCACTGACCTCTGTCCCTCTCTGACCTATAACCCTATAATTGACCTGACAGTTAGTAAGGATTGTCATCGTTGGCGACAAATTCTTCAAGAAGGAAGGTATGGGTTATTTTTTGGAACGTTATTAACAATAATAGTGGGGAATGCGCCAACATATACTCCTCTTTGTTCATTGTCATTTTATATGACCAAATGTAAAGAGCGTGACACTTAAGCACTTATTTTGTAATTCTTTTTGGTTCAAATTGAAATTATATATTTCAGTCCGTGTTTTCTGCTCGCTGTATCATGATGCATAAATACAGTAATCATACAATTCTGCTGCTACTAGAAAAAGCCAGTGATCTTCTTTATGTAACTTTTCTCACCATCACTGGTGACTGTTGTGCAGGGAACGGTAAGGTGTAGGAAATTCAGTGTTCTTTTTCCTAATTATTCACACTCTGAAAGTGACTTTGTACCCGATGTCAACACATAAAGTATTATCAAGGTAAAGAATCCGTGCACAAAATGAAGATAAAGCATAATGAAACCGACATAGATGTAAATCGTAAAGTTTATGGATGACTTGGAAGTTCCGAACAATACAGTGGTTCAGAGTATGGAGTATTTCTCACTAAAATTCATATCTTTAGCAGTGCTAAATAAGTGAATCTGTTGATGAGTATTTCCGCAATAAAATGCACCAGATACAACTGTTTCCTTTCCCAGGCTGTTGTAATGTCTGCATTCCCCGCAGCTAGAAGAGGCACATTTTGCGTACAATTATCATCCAGTTTAATGGCTGGGCATGAAATTAAAATTAAATTACAAACTACTGTATAAATGAGTATACAAATTCAATTATTTGAGGTATTTTTTACGACCGAATTCTACACAGACCATTATCGAACATTTAATGAAAACATAATTCTATACAGAAGTGAAGGGATCGTCAACGATCTTACTTTGTATATTTTAAATAGATTTTATAGATGGATATTCATATGGAAGAACCACAGAGAGTGAACTGGACAGTGCCAAAACTTCACTTCACCCCTCAGAGGTAAACATAAGTATTTAGCACGCGGCTGGCCAGCAACCACATTCACCCGCTCCTAACTACAATATCAATGGTACTGCTTGAAGGCGCAAAACCTTTGAACATATTAATCGCTAACTTCTCATGCCGCACACGCTGCAGAGAGCTCAAATTATACGGCATTTTGACGACTACGCATCCGCCATTAACCGTCGGCCCATACGAGTCACGTAGCAGGGACATTATTGCTTCCAAACGGCAAACAATGCAAGCCTCGGGGCCTATGCCTTTGGTGGGTACGATCTCACCGGTGAAGACAGTATGTATATATATGCTTGCGTGAAGCCAGCAAGAGCGCACAATCGTCACCGTCAGGAGAAGAGACAGGCTGATTTTTTGCGAACTCTAGTTCCAAGGTCTGAGACAGAATCATGATTTTTGCAGTGACATTGATTCTTGCAGTTGGGTACATTAGTGCCAGCTCCGATCCCTATGGATCAAGTAAGTAATCCGTATATCTACTAACTCTCAATAATGTAGGTTAATTTAATCGCGGCGGTTTTCGTTCATTGGGTATTAGTGGTTGATTCTGAAGTGAGCTAGCCGTACCTCATCTAAGAGCTTGCGTTGCGTTCATATCATTACTCGCGTCTCAGCAACAGCGCTCAAAACAGCATGTGGAGTTTCCTCTCATCTGTTGATTTTCAACTGCAACATTTTCTGTACTCGGCTCAAGGCTCGAAGAAATGTTTCACGGGACCTTTGTCATTGCATACCAAATGCTACAAAGTTGTTTTACAACTATGACGCCCACTGTGTACCTTATATTTAACCTGTTTAATGTTTTTTTTTTTTATAAATATTTAATCTCCATACTTTGTTTATTGTGTCATATGATTGTGGCATTTCTTTGTTCCATAAAATTTTCACAATTTGCTTTGATTGAAATATAAGGGGATATCTACCAGTGCTTCCATTTGGGTTATTTCTTGTAAAAATCCTCCATGGGCAAAGATGTTAGGATTTGTTCAATGTTTTCGACAGTGCAACAAGGTCTAAGCTTTGGTCTAAGCTAAGGTCTAAACGGTGACAGCTAAGTTAACCTGAATTGTTTTGAATTTTACTCTTAATATCCTTTGCACGACAGAACCAGACACTATTTAGGAAAGAAAAGTAGAAGTCCAATCTGCGAAATTTTTCACACAAAAATGGAAACCAACCAACCAACTAACCAACCAATCCACAAACAAACAAACAAAAACGATCACATGACTAAACTTCCTTTTGTATTCTTTTTTCCTCTTAGACTGTTACAACTGTGAGTATTCGCTGAAGCAGAGCGGTTACGGTTATGGCGGCCAGTCTGGCTATGCCCAGTGCGCCAACCCTGACGCCCCAGGTTCCGGCGTGGACGTCTGGGCCTGCAAGAGCGGAAGATGCTTTACCAGATTCGATGAGTACAGCAAACGTGAGTAATCAAATTGTGTTTTGTCTGTCTGTCTGCCCCTGTCTGTTTGTGTGCCTTACTGCCTTTTCGCCTAACAGCTTACAGCCGCCCGTTCCAAATTTTTTAAGCCTGTCGGTTCATTGGTCCGTCGGAGTCTAAAGTACTTTTGTCCCAAAGCAAACTTAGTTGCTTTATTCTACTAGTATATAAGTCTGTTAGGTATTGTAATTTTAGCGAAAGTATAGTTTTCTTCAGCTACTACAAAATTATACTCAGCACGGTCAATCCAAGCCATCTAAACGGGTAATGCAATTTCGGCCAAATATGTGATATCTTTAACTACTACAAAATCTTTAGGTTAACTATTGTCTTGGTCAGTTGTGAGGGCAGCTTATTCCAACAACGTTCGTTATGTCTACCCCAACCTCCTTGGTGGTTCTTATGTCGTCGTAGGCCAGGGATTTTCGGCCAGGAGAGAGAGAGAGAGAGAGAGAGAGAGAGAGAGAGAGGGAGGGGGCTACAAAGTCACAGCATATTCTTTGCATCCCAACTAACACACCTTTTTTTTTTTCATTTTTCCAACCAGGCGTGACCCGTGGCTGCTGGTCCGGCGAAGTGAACGTGAACCCCTACGCCTACGGCTGCCAGAAGCAGTACGACGGTCAGGTCTGGTGCTTCTGCGACGCTTCCAGCGGCGGCTACAAACCATGCAACAACCACCAGTGTGACGCTTACGGCTGCCGTGACAACCAATACGGTAACCAATACGGCAGCAGCAGTGGATACGGAAAGAACCAATACGGCAGCAGCAGTGGATACGGAAAGAACCAATACGGAAGCAGCAACCAATACGGAAAGAACCAATACGGCAGCAGCAACCAATACGGAAAGAACCAATACGGCAGCAGCAACCAATACGGAAAGAACCAATACGGCAGCAGCGACCAATACGGAAAGAACCAATACGGCAGCAGCGGCGGATACGGAGGATACCAAAGCAGTGGATACGGCAGCAGCGGCGGATACGGAGGATACCAAAGCAGCGGTTACGGACAGGGCAACCAATATGGATACCCATCTAAAAGTCAAGGCTACGGCAAGCGCCATTATTAAATACAGGTATGACGTCAGCATTTTGTCGCTAGAAAAACAACAATGTGTAAACGTTTTTCGTATTTTATTTTATAAGCGGTGTGATCTTGCAGATATTTTTTATTCTTTTGAAATGACATTTAGTCATTTGACACGTTTTGTTATGTATAAAAACATACTAGGACATATAATTTCACTGCAATGTTTATAGTTGTGCCTTTTTATGTTTGTAACGGTGCATGAAACTGTCGTCTCACCCCTACGTCAGTACAAAGTAGCAAGTGACCATATGGTAATTAGTATCATCAAACACAATGACATTGCCATTTCTTTCTCCTTTACCTAAAAAAAACATCATCGTTCCTTTATAACTCTCATAATTTTTACATGAATTTCACGATTATAGATAATTTACTGATTGGTTGTTATCATGACGTCGCTGGCAATGAGCATTGGGATTTTTTTGTAGTGAATAAATTCGTTAATGTATTTGCAGGCACTAATGGATGAATATGAGGCCCACCTGGAAAACAGAATGAAAATCCGGTTAAACAGCTACGTTTTATGGATGAAGACGATCCCTCCCCGACCAAGACGTCACAACGTTGACATTTTAGGTGGTGACGTCATGTAATGCTTATTTATCAATCACAGCTTTTGATCTCACACATGATTCCAGGCGGAATATCAACTTGAGAATTATGTTTGATTTTTTGAGATTATGTATTGAACTTGCTTGATTTATGGCAAATAAAACTGCATTTCAATTATATTCGGTAGTTATAAAATCAGTCTATCATACGCCATGTGTTGCATTGAAGCGAATAAAAGGAATCTGGTTTTTGCAATTGTTTGAAATTGACTATTCCGAGAGAAATTTACCGAACTATGAAACAGCTCTCATTTAAATTCGTCTCAGCTTTTTTTGTACAATTTTTAAAGTCTATCATAAAGTCTGGTTTAAGTATAATTTGTGAATATTTATATTAAAAAATAAAACAGATAAATAACTCTTTAATGTGCTGTCTCGTGACGTCAGTCAGAATATCCTCCTCTTTGAAAGTAGTAAGAGCTGTAAAGACTTAATCATATTCCTTACAAACCAGCTGCATGGTTAATAAATGAAGGAAAGTGCAACGAAGAACTGAATTCTGATGTGCACTGCAAATATGTCTATTAAAACTGCTTCGTAACAACAAAGGGAACCAAAATTAAATGGTTTAAGTACCGAATAGTTGATACACTCTTGCGTGTGTGTGTGTGTGTGTGTGTGTGTGTGTGTGTGTGCATGCGTGTTTTTAATTTATATCTTTTCAACTTGCACTTTTTCTTCAGAAGTGTCGCACTAAAAATAATATCTCCCTCTTAACTAAGTCTGGAGCGAACAGGACTTATAAATCAACAGTTATCACTCATTCAACTTTATATTGAACGATTTCATAAAATTGGAATACACAGGTTTATAATGGTACATTAATAATGATATGCTTAAACCACAAACATGTAGGGAACCTGTGTGTGCTATTATAAGACACAACAATATAGACTCACAGTTCTATACAATACAACCGGTCCAAATTAGTGCTCTTAAACCCATCCTTAGTCAAAGTGCTTGTATCCGTAGATGAAATTTCCAGTTTGTCCCACAACCAAAGTTGCACTTGCACAAATGCAATTATGTTGTCCTGTAAGCTTTGAGGTTCCTTGCCGAAGGTTCGGTTGTTTCTCCCGACCACTTGGGCATCCAGAGGTACGGGATTAGGTCGGCTTTCCCAGGGAAAAAGTCCTCAAAGAGGCGACGGAAGTAAAAGGCCTCTTTAGATTTCGGTGGATTGTGGGGAAACTTACGGCTGGCGTTCATCACGTCTGCGTCAGTGACCTGTATGTATAAATGAAGGATTATTTTTATACCACGAATTTTAACACCTTTTCCTTCCTCCCCTCTCTCTCTCTTTCCTTCCCCGTCCTCTCTCTCTCTCTCTCTCTCTCTCTCTCTCTCTCTCTCTCTCTCTCACACACACACACACACACACACACACACACACACACACACACACAGTCAGAAACAGACTCGCAATAGAAGTCGGTTTTACGTTCACAATTTACCTCAGGAAATACACGCTGACATATATATTTCACAGGCCATTGTGTTTTTCGTAATTCCAGAAATGCAGTTGCTGGGCAATTAAAATAATTTTCAACGCAATCTTCTCTGGCACAATACATGTATACAGCGCAACTTGAGTCCGTTTGCGGACGTAAGCATGCGCCTCTAACATAATGGAAACACCAACCTTATCGTCGGTGAACTCCCGCAGGATGTGATGCCAAGAGCGAACATTAGAGGAGACGCCGTCACTAAAACTCTCCTTGGGTCGCCACAGCGTCTCATGGGGCAGGAGTCCCGTCGCGTTGAAGGCCGAACGGAGCAGATGCTTCTCGATTCCGTCGACAATATGTCGGATGTTGGGGTCCAAAGAGAGAATATAGCTGGTCAGTTCATGGTCAAGAAAAGGTAGCCGCAGTTCTAAGCTGAAATGATTGATTATACTTGTTTGATTAAATTAAGAAATTATTTAAAGGCAATAATCGCAAAACAGGAGGACATATTTCAACGGAAACTGACGCAGCTTATTATAAATAAATAAATAAAAGTAGAAAAATAATAATTATACATAAGTGATCTACGCAATATTCACAATTTTCGACGGTCATTGAAACAAGTCCCTACCCAAAACCGGAGATAATTCTATCACCACGTAACACGTCAAACAGATAGAGATCCTGAAGAAGTCGTCTGCTCTCTCTATCCGCCTCCTTTACATCCGGGGCGTTATGGAAGTATATGTACCCCTGGCAAAGCTCGTCTGCGCCCTCGCCGGAGAACACGACTACTGTATCTGTCTTTTCTCTTATGTACTTGGCTACGAAGTAGAGCCCTATTTGAAAAATTAACGCACCGTTATCACAAATTTGTCAATTTAGAAAATCACTAAAATTTCACCAACCATGCGTATAGACACAGGGGCAGATCATGTGGGCTAACCCATCCCATTTTCTTTTCAGGGATCCTGCTGAGAACGCTAAATCAGATCTTTTCGATTTTTCGATCAGAATTCGATCAGACTGTTCTGTCCCTGATACAGTGATACTGATATGATGATAACAGATAATGGCGTCACAGCTGCATAAAAAGTAGACTAACCAACGGCTCCACTTATAGTGATGATGTCAAAGCTATGAAAAAAAAATCACTCACCAACAGCCCCACGTATAGTGATGATGTCATAGCTCTCCAGGTGATACACCATGTCATTAAGAGCGGCCAATCCTTCTTCTTCAGAGAATATAACCTCGTGATGTTCTGTGCCGAGGTATTCAGCTACCTTAAAGAGAACGGAGGAATGAAATGTACTTACATGTACTTTCAATTAAAAGAAGATACAATAAAAACTTTGGGTGCTATAGAAAATTAAATTAAATTTAAAAAAAATAGCAAATTAGCAAAGACTTGCACGTATTTTTTTTCTAGTTTTGCCCTTTATACAGTTTTTATGGAGTGGGAGAGGGTGATGGAGGAAAAAGGTAGGAGAAAGGGCTCGGAGGTCAAAGGGGCTTGCGTGGCATGTTCGCTGTGCATTGTTATCCAAGATGTATTGCCCACCTTGCGCGCTGCTATGATGTCCGTGCTACCCGGCATGCCGGCGGCGAACGTCTGTATGGGGTAGTCTATGCCCACTTCTCTGGCGCTCTTCACAACCAATGCGGCAACGAGGCTGGAATCCACGCCACCTGTAGGACATAATGATACACACTGGATGTCGGAGTGACATGTAAGCTACATTTCTATACTTCAAAAAGGTTTTCTCATTGTGTCTTTTGTAATTACAATAAAAAGTAAATATGCTAGTTCAGCCACTGCATCGGCCAACCAAAAACCATAAATTTCTCAAAGGAGGAAAATTGGCCAAGCAACAGGATAATGAACCGTGACTAAGGCCTGCAGCGCCCCCCCTCCTCTCCAATCAACGCTGAAATCCTTACATCCGGGACTCACAACTACGTATCAGTCATGTGATCATGGCCTTTTGAGGAAGGGTAGAAACTTCATGCTTCAAAGGTAGGGAAATACGTTTTTTATCTTTTTTCTTTTTTCTCCTCATTACGATTTACTTTTTTTTATCAAAAACTGTATAAACCGCATACAATGACTGGATTGGCGACGGGTAATTGTGCCGGTGCGTCTCTTCCTCAAGTAAGTATTGCTTTTAAACTTTCTGTTAAGTCTATTAAGATGAAAATATTTATCTTTATCACCCTGCGCTCCTTTTTCCATTCACAGTGATCTTTATAAAATATCTTATAAATACCAGATAGTAGACATCCGATACGCCGCTGGGACATCAACCTTTTCTTCACGGCTGCGGTCATCAGGTTGCGGACATTGGCTAGCGGGTCGTTTCCTGTAACATCAAAATACAGGTTTATTCACGTACATTGGACATTCTGGCATAGAATTTCATCAGTGCGTCACAGCTTTGCAAACGTTTTAGTATTAAAGATTATTTAATATAAAGGTTTGTTATTCGTTGACAGTACACTAGTGATAATAATAATAAATAATAATAATAATAATAATAATAATGCTCGTTTGTGATCTGAATCTATACTTGAGATTATCTTGGAAATCTACTATTACTTACGGGAGGCAAGCTGACGTAATCTAAGACACTATATATAGAGCGATACAGTATTATGGCTCGACCCAGTTTGATAGATAGACAACTTAAAGGCCTGATAAATACGTAAGAGAGTCACATAAGACCCCGCGCTCGACACGATTGATTTTGATTGGCACGTATTGCGGCTATAGTAAGAAACAATAACATGTTAGGATCAGTCAAACTGGTGCGATACAGAAATCTGTACCGCTGCATGTGAAAAGTTTCTACTTCTTATAAGAAATAGAAAAGAGTCGCACATCATTAACAGAATTAACCCTCCCCCCCTTCTTTCCAACCCCGCGGGAACCCCTGTGCTCATGGCGGCACAAACTGACCGAGAGGTTCCGCTATGGTTTTGTAAACCGGTGGCTGTGCCTGGAAATGAAATCGCTTCCGGTCTACCAGCCTGGCCTTGTTGTCTTCGTCCAGGAGATATTCCTCCGTGTGGCCAGGCGCCAACGCTTCAATTGTACTCGCTGTGCCGTTGTGGATGAGATTTTGCAATCCTGGAATATGACGAGAAGTTACGTGTACAACATATGAACATATGCTTTGTGTTAATGACACCGGGTAATTTAGTTTAAAAATATTTTGGACAAGACAGCTTGTGGTTATTTCTTTTATTTGACTCTGAAAGAAGAATTAATTATCTTGCAGTGCAGCCCTTCTACTGTGACACTCTTAAGTTTTCACTCCACGTATCAAAGTCCAGCCAAAACATATAATTATATAAACTTTCACCTTTGATTTCCGAACAAACAGCCAGAAATCCGTCCTCTGTGGTCAAGCGGAAAGCTGGACGAACGCCAAACGTATCTCTGCCAAGGAAAACCTTTCTCTTCTCTGTATCGAATAGACAGAAGGCAAACACGCCGTCGAGGTGCTTAGCAAGAAACTCTGCACCGCCGTGGTTGTAACAGTGCAAGATGGCTTCCCCATCACAGTTGGTTTGGTACTTGAAACCGAATTCTTCCTTTAACTGTTGTGAGAATGAGAATATTAAGCAGTCTCATGGTCCATAAGAACCTGCATGCGCTTGGGTAATTCAGTAAGCTCAAACAAATAATAAATAAATAAATAAATAAAAATGGCATAGACCATATCAATTTCGTAATATACCAGAAATGCAGATGCCTTGTTTTGTGGGCCTACTGAATTACTACCCTCTACCAGGGCCGCAGTTATTATTCTGTGTACGTTTTTGATAGTACAGAGATTAGCCATCTATTTAGCTAGAGACATATCTCTTCATATTTAGTGAAAAATCGATCTGTGGCCCTGGTAGTGGGTACTGAATTACGCTCTAGCACGCTGTTATGGGCCACGGTCAAACAGTATGCCATTTGTCATAGAATGTCACTGCTGGGCCCGTGCCAAGAGAAGTGACCAAGGATTAAAAAAATTGCCGAATGACGTGAGGCAAATATAATGAAAGATATTGCACGAGGTCAAGGTACCTGGACGACCAATGTGCTTGGTTTTGTCTTATCTCTCATTTTATACTTTTCAGTATTAGGTGCCATCTGTGTCCGCTGACAGATTAATGATAAGATTAAAACCGCTTAAATATCAAAATATTTAACTATAACGTTAAAAATGTATATCTTATTCTTACCAATTTGCAGTTGTAAATTTCACCGTTGTACACCATCCACAGGTGCGGCATACTGCGCACTCTCATCGGCTGCATGCCAAATACACCATCGTTGATGGCAAGATGGTGGAAACCGAGACAGCAGTTGGTAAAATGGTTGATGGTGGTCACACAGGAGGCGTCTGGACCGCGGTGAGATATGGTGAAACTGCTTGGCGCCTGCTCCGAGATTTTGGCTTCACTTCCGAATATCGCCCATATGCCACACATCGTTGCTTCTGCAAATCAGAAAAAATGTCACATTTTTCAAGTGGAATCATCTGTCTCGCCGCCTGTGCCATGATCGACTGTTTATAGTAATGCATAAAGAAGAGATAAAATATATAAATTTTTTCAGAAGTTTTCTTAAAGCGCCTGATGTAATCAACTTCACAATGCAAGATCATCAAGCGATGTCAAACCGTGTCAATGCAAATGACTAAGCGTTCCACAATATGTGTTTGCCAATGAGGAATTGGTCTCCAGATTTTATTTCGTTTCTGTTGAAATCCTCAGTATGCCTACGCAAAACTAACTTATCTACAAAACCGTTGATTAGTCGCATTCCTTAAACCTTTCTCAGAGTTCAGTTCCTCTTGTTTCGCTTGAAGTATTGACCGACACATACAATGCTTCCAGGATCGATAGCTTTATAACGGGCATCAATTAGCGCCTACTAATGATATAGAACTTGAACGCATTAGGACCTATGTACATGTATAATGCGCATAAAATATTAAAAGGCAATACATAAACAAGGTCAGTTCCATGGCGTCTAGAAGACACCCTCTGCCCGTATGCTGATATTAAAAATTAACTCTCACTTCTTATCTAATATTGGGAACTTTGTCGACATATTTTGAATGACTTGGTGGCTTATTAGATATTCCATTGGTTCGAAAATAACAAAACGCTACATCGTAATTTCATTGCTATTTCCCGATTGTGCATTATGAAAAGTAAACAAAAAACGTAAAACACAAAAAACGTGTACAATACCGCAGTAAAATCCGTTGCTAGGGTGCTCTGAAGCTTAACTTTTCCAAGAACGCAAAGAACTGTGTCTTTAGTGCGATGTTCCGAGGCAAAGAAAATGCTAGCGACTGGCCCACAAAGGCGGGGTGAATGTAAAATTTTCCGCTAAGACCAGGGAAATTTTCCATGACCAGGCTATTGGACAACAGGCGCGGAATTTAATGACGTAACCCACTTTCCACTCCTCAATGTGAATGCCCCATTGCAGGGGACCCAATAACATCAGCAACATTTGACGAAGTTCTTTTTTCTTAAGATTATTGCATCCCATTGGAATGAGAGTGCAGAACAAAACACTAAGATTTTCTGAAATGTAATCCAAAAGTCTTTATTGGACCGTGGGTCTTTAATACGATAGGTATGGAAAAGACGGCACACCACCAGTATTTATTGATCCAGTTATGAGATGCATGTCTTGCTGATTATTTATTTATTTGTCTGTTTATTGCAGTGTCACGTGCCGCAGTATATATTAACAGACCCATCCCATCGGGCTTATGCGCTGTACAATAGTTCAAGTCTAATAATGCACGCAGTTGTTAGAAATTCATGTATCGCCTCACGCACGTAGCATCTTATCATGGTCACATCGTTGTACAATGTAGGAGCCCGTTCAGTTTATGTCGATGTCACTAAAAGATAAAAAAGGGAGGAGTTAGACACAATTCCCATACCTAGATCGATCTAGCTGGATCGATCCATCTCCAAGGCGATTATCGTCAAATTGCGTTCAGATTAAGCTGCTAAAACACCCTTTACACTGGACGGCGTCCTTTCTGCGTCCTTTGTGCGACGATGAAACTGGCCAGGAGTTTTGAGCATGTTCAAAACAATCGCAGAGAGAACGCGATGGAGGATGATCGCTCAATGGACGCAGAAAGGACGCACAAGCATCGCCGTGGTCGCAGAGAGGACGCACAGGCATCGCCGCGGTCGTAGAAAGGAGGCACAAGCATCGCTTTGGTTGCAGAATGAAAACTCAAAGATCGTCACGTAGAACATTATTTTTTTCACTCTCAAACGGGGCCGTGATGAGGTATTATTCACCAGACAGGAATTCTAAGGGCAACAGTGGTCTCATATCAGCCTCCGATTTTTTTCCCCTAAAATTCATGAAACGATCCATTTTTTTTTTTAGGTTATTATAAAACGAATATTTTGCCTTTTTTACAAGATGCATTAATTGTCAGAACTTTTTGCAGAATGCGTCATTTGAAAACGGATTCAAATATTCCATGTTGTGTCAGGCATACTTTCTCTTTTTCGGCGCCTGTCCATCCTTATAAGATAACAATTGAGCATCTGGCTGATTATCAGTCCATGCAGACCTTGCATCACTGTAGTTTAAAGCGTTTATTCCCATTTATTTGTTTTGTGTGATGGAAATGTTCTTTATTGGATGACCTGGTTAGAACCGAGGAAAAAATATGAGTTAGAATATAGAGAAGGACACCAAACAACGCTCATCGGTCAAGCAGGACGCAGAATGATCGTAGAATAGACGCCACTGATCGCCGATGAAGGTACAGAGAACGCAGCAAGAATGCTCAATGGTTGCTCAAACATCGCAATGGACGCCTTGGGTTGCAAAGGGGACGAACAGTGGAGGCAGGCAGGTTGCTCGCAGTTTTACAGGTAAAATCAAGATTCGGTCGTTCAAAGGACGCACAAGGGACGCAGACGCCTTTACACTGAGACACGATTTAATTGCTTTGGCGACCGTTGAGCGTCCTGACCACATTTTTGAACGCAGAAGGGACGCAGAAAGTACGCCGTCCAGTGTAAAGGGGCCTTAAGATGTATGGCACGCTTACTGAAGCTGCTAAACGATAGTCAATTACCCTCTAACAGCTTCTGTAGGCGTACCAGTCATCAGAGCCGCTTGTGCTGAAGGTAAAGCGAGAAACCCCTCGGAGATACACGTAGGTCGATCCTGCTAGATCGATATAGGTATGGAAATGGGGTATGTAAAAAATAATGGAAGAAATACGTGTTATAAAACAACAACGACAATAATAATAAAAAGAAGACAAAACGAATGAAGAATAAAAAGAAGAATAAGATAATTGAATCACTGTTGTTGTTTTAACAATTAAAATCATTTTGATGGACAATAAGATTATAGCACTGATATTCTGATATTATTTAATATTATTAACTAATGGATAATAAACAGAACTAAATGAATTCTCGGTGACATCGTAACAGAGCATGAAGCCCTCTGTAGCGTAGTTTCTCGTCCATAGTACAATTTCGTCAAACGAGTCGGTCACGCTTTAGCGCAACACTTACACGTAGAGGGGTTGCTGGCGAATTTAAGTACAATAATTTTAACTGAAATCAAACATAACTTCGCAAATTTTAACCCTGTTCTTAATTCATTTGCTTTAAAAACTACGCAATTTGAATTAAATTTCTCGGCCGAGATAATGTCAATCATCATCATCATCATCATCAGTGCTCTTCGTCCCGTGTGGGACATAAGGCCACAGTCACTTCTTTCCATTTGGCCCTATCTCTGGCTACGTGCTGGGCCTGTCCCCATGTAAGGTCCCCTCCCTCAGCTCTGCCATCACTGTTCGGCGCCAGGTGGTCTTGGGCCTTCCTCTCTTTCTTTTTCCAGGTGGTGTCCATCTCAAAGCTACCTTTGGTACTCGGTTCTCGTCCATCATAAGTACATGGCCAAGCCATTGAAATCGCCGTCGCTTGATCTGCCCTACAATACTCTGGTTCCCTGTCAGTATGTACAGGTCATGGTTGGAGATCTTATTAGGCCAGAATATGCGGCAGATCCTGCGGAGACACCTGTTATGGAAGGACTCTACTCTGCTCATGTCAGACTTTGTAACTCTCCAGCATTCAGACCCGTAGAGCAGAACAGACTTCGATAATGTCAATAATGCATCCCTAAAAACAATGAAATTCCCGCATCAGTCCTCTGCGGTTATTGAGACTATACACCAAAGTTTGGTTCCAGCAAAGAAGATTAATTCGAAGGGATAATCATTAACATCCCATAACGTGTGTTTTAATGTGATTAAAATCTTAAAATGCCCATTTCTCTCTCTCTCACTAATTGACATAATTATCGTCAACCTTCTGACTGCATGTTATGGTAGCTGATTCGTGACATCGTAATATCGATTCGTTTAATGGGACGCGATATTGCGATACCACGATAGCACGATGCGATATCACGATAGCACGATGCGATATCACGATAGCATGATGCGATATCACGATGCGATCTCGCATGTCGCTGTTCCTCTATGGTTCACAGCTTTCTGTTATTTAGCATGGACATAAAAAGAGAACCTTTTCTTATTATGTCCATGTATTTAGTAAAGAGTGCTGTATTCAGCCGTATATGAGGACATGTATTACAGAGTTACACAGAGTGCTCCGTAAAGGCCCTATTTCACACAGACCACGAATCCCACGAATGGCCATGAATTGACAAATTTCACCATTCGTGGTTGAATCGTAATCAGTTCGTGAAGTTCTTAACAGATTCGTATCTATTCGTAGTCAGTTCTTGCACTTCTTGACCAACAGGAATGGGTGGCAAAAACTTTGATGCCCCTATTTCACACAGACCACGAATCCCACGAATCGCCAGGAATTGAAAATTTGGTTGAATCGTAATCAGTTCGTGAAGTTCTTAACAGATTCGTATATAATCGTAGTAAGTTCTTGCAATTCTTGATCAATCGGGAATTCGTGCCAAAAATTTTGAGCTGTTCATAGTTTTGGCCACGAACTCCCGATTCCAAAAAATCGTAGTGAATTTCTGGACAATATTCGTGCGATTCCAACCGAATCCCACGAATATTCGTAACACTATCGCACCTGTATCGTAACTGAATCGTAGAGCGTGTCGAATTAGACCAGAAAATTGGCAAAATCTCACGATTCCAGCCGAATCCCACGAATATTCGTAACACTATCGTATCTGTATCGTAAGTGAATCGTGAGCGTGTCGAATAAGACCAGAAAATTGGCAAAATCTCACGAATCCTCACGAATCCTAAAATTTGTCAATTCCTGGCGATTCGTGGGATTCGTGGTCTGTGTGAAATAGGGCCTTAACAAAGAGAGCACGAAACGTTTTATGAGTTACTGGATCCAATTCTTAAGTATAAAAATGAAATTCAAATCGACAGCCCTAATTCAAAGCACCACGAGATGTCTCTGTAGCGAGACAAGTCGGGTTCCTTTTTACATGGGTCTTGACAAAAGGCGGGGAGGAAATGCTCAGAGCAAAATGAGATATTATTCGTATCTAGTAGGTGGCTTAATCAATGGAAGTGATTCACTGCATATATTTCAGGGTCCGCTTACACACGAAAGGCCTCTCGAAAGAACTTATGAAAGAGAGAGGATCACGATCAGAAACGAAAGGAAGAGAGAGTGAAAGAAACAGGGCCGAGACGGAGACGGACTTATTCATCTGGAAACATTGCGTCACTTCTAAGTACTGCCTGTATACAAGGCAGCATACAGACTCATTTTATTTTATGCGACACAGATTAAATCACAAAGATATGACTTACATATACCTCATACCAGTATATTGTAATTAATTAATAAATCAGAGAGCGCACATCCCCGACTTGGTAGGTAAATTTTCATTATCATTTTAATAATAATTTAATAAATCAATAATTAAAATTATTGATTTATTAAATTATTATTATGTTTTTTGATAATCTCGATTTCATTTTGTTAATTATTTATTCAAAATAATTATAAATTAATTCAATACACATTTACTGAAGTATTAATTTAGTAACAAATTGATCAACCTATAAATTGACTGATAAATCAACTAAAACCTGACCAATTTCTGACCTATCAGGAACATTAGATTAAAATCTCTTCCTGCATAATGTTACTTACAGACAAACCGATTTATTAATTACTTAATCGATTAACAAATAGACCCGCACTTAAAATTAACCGTTTGTTACTTGCCCCCCCCCTCCTAACAGTTTCTAAAAATCCTCAAAATCCAATTACGCATGCGCAGTAGTTCAGTTTGGGGGTGGGATGGGTCGGGGTGGTTGTTTGGTTGTTTGTCCTATGCCCCACCCCCCTTACCCACCCACACCCCTGTGTTCAACACAATACACAGAGATGTCAGCCAATTATTATAATAAACGATGAAGCCTTGGACACGTGCATATAGTCATAATTAAAATATAATGAATGAATATACACTTGCCCCCCTTTGAGGGCATTAAACTAAATTGAACACGGTCATAAACATAAAGCCCAGGCGGTGTACAAAGTGCGGTTATAATAACAACACCCTTGCCACACTAAATAATCTTTAATTCCTTGCATGTAGGTCTTATATTCTATTTTAAAATTAAAAAGGGAAAAATATTAAATTGCCCCGAAACTGAAATCGGAAACTGAACGCGGAAGACCCAGTCAATGCAATGTTTTAAAGCCCTCGCTTCATTTTTGTCATCTATATTTATTTATGATAAGCATATCACTTCCCGGTTTCATTAACACTTTCAAGAGGCTCACTAGTGGTTTATTGTTAGTGTCATCGGTCTCATGATACAAACCGAAACAGAAAACAATACTCAATGGACATATAATCCGTCAGTTGCCTATTTGGAATTCTGTTTTCTGTTAAAAGACGAAAGAAAAGACGCAGTGCCCCCTCCCCACCTTCCCCCTCCCACCTCATTTATTTTTTTCACTCATTCGTTTTTTTTTTTTACCTGTTCGCCACAGTGTGCAGAGGTCATTCACAGAACATTGATAGCTACAATAGCAAACGCGTGATAACTAAGTAAAACCAATAATAATAATAATAATAATAATAATAATAATAATAATAATAATAATAACAAATATGATAATAATGACGATGATGCCTTACAGCTTTTAATATTATAATATTGTGACCAATTTTCTAAACATTTAAAGGTAACTGAACTTATTAAATGCCAGGGCATTTCACATTAAGCGTTTGTTTAACCACATAGAAATAGTAATAGATCTGATTGATCCATACACCCTCAAGCCATTACTGACGAGGCAGATCCCTTTGAGATCCCTTTAAGACGTAAACCAGGTAAACATCCCCAACGCCGTTGAGTATATTACCTCACTCAGTACCTGTATTGGCAGGGGCGGATCCAATCTTATCTGAAGAGGAGGTCCACGGATGAGAAGCCGACCCCCCCATCCCCCCCCTCCTCGGGGTGGGGTCTGGGACCCACTGAAGGGCCCCAAAAAATTTGGTATTTTAGAGGGCGAACGGTGCCATTTGGTACGGTTTAGAACTATGATTCAGCTACTCAAAATGTAAATTTCAAAAGGGGACAGAAATCGAAGGTTGGGTCAGGACTCCCCTGACACCCCCCTTCTGAAGCCGCCACGGGATCCACCAGTATAAGATACTTTATAAAGTCCAGGACGTGCAACAAGCACCACTGATAATCTATTGTTTGATAAGGTATACTGAGAAGAAATTTTATTTGTCATAATTATGTTTTAATATAGTATACCAATACAATATTATTCTGCGTATCTTACAGGGATTTGTACATTAGAAGGGGAATCCCCTTCTTGTTCCTTGGCCAGATGGCGTATTTGATTGGCTGCCTCGTTTTCAATGATAAACAAGGAAGTAGAGAGCCGCTTACATATATGCGGTGTATGCGGTTACGTTGCATTACGTGCCAGGACGACGGATTTGTGTCAACACGCGAAACAATCTGGGTCTTGTGACATAACCAAAAGCTCAAGGGACACTAACGACTTGTAAAAGGAGCATGAAAGTGGAAACAAGTGAGTATTAGTGTGTTATCTAGAACGCTGGCGTTTCAAGCCCCCGTCGTTGTACTACGCTGGCCTAGGCTGTACATGTACAGGTAGGCTACTATACTACTGTTATATTCTATGCGTTGGGTCATATCTGGCTGACCTAGATAATATCACGGCCCGTGCAGTGATAACCTTACCACTACCTCAACCTCCACCAATGGTGGATCCAGACTTTGACCAGAGGGGGTGGCTGTGATGGGGTGGTTGGGGTGGGGTGGTTTGGGGTGGGGGTGGGGGGAGGCACGAGGATATCAAAACGGCATTTGCCTCCATTTGTTGTGGAATATGAGTACTGGACAAGCAGTATTATAGTATAATTTAGGACATGGGGTGGGAATTTTTGATTTAGATTATACCTTTTATTTATTTATTTATTTATTTATTTATTTATTTATTTATTTATTTATTTAATTGGGGTAGCAGAGTGTCTGGTGGCGTTGGGGGTGGGGTGGGATCGTAATTGACTCTCCTCCCCCCCCTCCCCCGTTTCTCTCGAAAAAGACATATTGTCATTAAAGGCCAGGAGATACGCATAATGTCATTTAAACTTAAAGGAGCAAGGTATAACATGTAAGTAAGATAATACCTTTGAGATAATGTCGCCTTTAATGAAGTTTAAACTTAAAGCGATAACCCACAAGTTTAAACCGTGTCTCACGACCCATTAGTTGAACGTAAGTATCTACTGACAAAATAAAGTTCATGCTATATTTGAAAGGTGCATTTAAAGCTGGTAGTTTTAAGGGTGAATCAGGTGGGCGTGTCGAACAGGTTAGGCATGTTTTACGCTTCATGAGAGCAGACAAGTGCCAAAAAAAAAAAAAAAAAAAAAAAAATTATAAAATCATTTTCAGCAAACATGCAATATGCATTAGTAATACATTATTTTCACGAGCTGTGAAAATGATACATATTTTTTCATTTAGTCAAGAGCATGCTTGAAATACTTTTTAAGTATAATAAATTACTAATATACATTTCGAAAATAAATGCCACAGCTAGCTGTCTAGGAGACACTTCTTTTAATACGACGGATGTACTAGTGCGATATTCGTTATATTATCGTGGTGGTTTATTTACTGGGTTGGTTTTATCTCACATAGGGCAACAATAAATAAAGCTACGATGGCGTTTTCCTTGATTCCATTAAGGAGCAGGATTGGAAGGAAATCTTATTTGCCCAGTAAAGACGAGGACAAACTTATTATAATGTTAAGGAAACGGGATGAAAAATTGCTTGGTTTTATCTCATTATACTTATTTATTGAAGGGTAAGGATTGTAAGGGTAAGGATAATCCATTTCAGTGCGCTTTACAGGTATTAATATAAAATTTAAGAACATTTAAAAACTATGACGATACAAACTCAGTTTATAAGTTGAAAAATAAATAAAAAGATAAGTCCTTTGAGCGACTTCAAAACTGTCATAATCACTTCCAGCTGCTACGTGCAGTTAAATGGCGCTTTATTTTATAGTTTTGGGTCATAAACAGTACCTCCCCTCCGAAACTGAAGATGGTGAGGGAGGCACCCACTGCGTATCTGAGATCCGCAACTGATGTATAGTGCAACCTGCATGAAGCATGTAGAAGGTGGTGCATTTTTTCAAAAAAAAAAAAAAAAAAAAAAAATGATACGCTTTTCATGTGACATGGGACACAACACCCACTGTTTAAGCAGCTTCTTCGCGCGTCGAACAATGCACGATATTAACGTACCAGTGACTTCCAATTGTGCATTTAAACCTATTCTTTATTAAGTCCGTCGTCTCCACCGCAAACACGTGACCCTCAGCACGGAATAAATCAGTCTTTATACTGCAATAAAGGGACTTAATGTCTTTTTGATTGACGTGTATTTTTGTGTGTGTGTGTGTGTGTGTGTGTGTGTGTGTGATAGTGGCAAATATGTTTCTTCAATAATTATGATCATGTGTTAGTGAACAGACTGACGTGCATTAGGTCCAAAATTAACTAAACTCAAGACTTAGAGACAAATTATTCTTACGGTATCATATTAAATAATTAAAAAAGCTAAGAAGAGGAATAAAACATAGGGTAAGAATAAATAAAAATAGAAGTAAAAATTAAATAAAAATGAAAAAAACCCAGGCAGTAAAGACAATAACCTATTTGTAAGCAGAGAACGCCGCCTTTATAATCAAATACAAAACGGGAGTGTTCAAAAAGGCGTAAGAATTTTTTTTGACTTGGTTGTCAACCAGTCCTTGTGTACTGCTGGTGCAGTTGACCGCGATTAATTGAAAATAAGACCCACCCAGACATAATAAGGGACGTTGAAGGACACTCCTTCCAGTCTTGGACATAATAACAAATTTTGTCCATGTTCCATGTAAGGTCGCTGCCCATATGACTGTGAGGATATAGTGTTAAGGTCCCGGATATCAAGGAGTGCCACGTCCATGTTATACAAGGACGGTGTTCGTGAACCACATTTTAGCCGTTAATTGGCGTGGAGGAAGCAGCACCTCGAATTTCTGCGTAGGTAAAAAGGTTTCCTTTCGCGTGTGAAACTGAACAGCTATTGGGTTTATCATGAGAAATGCACATTTAAAAAAAATCCATATGATTTGTTTTTATTTAGTGGAAACCCGGAGACTTAATATGCTGCTGTGACTGAAACGAAGTATTGATATAAATCACCGGCGACTAGGAAGCACTCATTTCGGCACGTATTTCTTCCTTGTAGCTTACATTATTTTGTAGTTTCTCTTAATCTTGTACAGAGGACATACTCTAATAAATAATGTCAATAGCGGATAAGGCATCCCTTACAAAAGGAGCGAGGAAATGTCCCTCGGGTTTGATTTGACCATGTAACACAGTTGGCATAACACCAAAAATATTTATTTTTAGACATAATAATGGCACTGGAAGTGGATTTTATTTTGTAGATACTGCACTCATGTGAGCTTATTGAAATAGGTAACTGAGGCAGAATGTCTCCTTTCTCCAATTTCACAACTAGAGTGAACTGAAAGCATGAGAAAATGATAAGGCATTAGGCATGTAGGTGTCCCCTTTGTGAATTGAAAAAAAATCACGTTTTATTGTGTTTACTTTGCTGTAAACAAATTATTAATAACTATACATGTCACTTTCTTTGATTCCTGTTTCTTTATTTGATACTACTGCTTATTGATCCAAAATTGTTTTTCATTTGCTTCCCCCCCCCAAAAAAAAAAAAAAATGTAAAGGACAGAAAGGAACTGATTTCGTCGGATGAACGCACATGTTTTAATGTGTCGCTTTTGTTGTCTTACGTGAAGCTAATAACTAAATTTATCATATACTACGTCAATCTTTAACGCAGCTTGTTAAAGGTCAAATAACAAGAACGTTCTTCTAAAGTTTCGAACTTTGACTCATTGAATTAAAAACAATGATCATCAGAAATGCTTACATTTAAACACCTAAAGGTTATCTAGAAATCTGACCAGTACCTGGTATAAGTAGGTGCACATGGGAATATTTTCATAACCAAAACGAAATAACTGTTCAGTCCTCCAGGATTTGATTACAGTTCTATCCATATTGCACTCAAAGCAACAGAGGGAGTCACCTTTTTTATTACTTGCCATTTTTTCCTTTGGGTTAAGTTTTTTTTTATTAAATTTATTGTTTTAAATGTGTCTCGTTGGTGGTCAGAAAAAAATCAATAAGTGAATAGATAGATAGATAGGTAGATAGAGAGATAGAAAGATGAAATAGGCAGAGGAAAATAAATTGTGATATTTCAAAATCTGAGTTATAGATAGGTAGACAGAGAGATAGAAAGATGAAAAAGGCAGAGGAAAATAAATTGTGATATTTCAAAATCTGAGTTATGCAACATGAACAGTTGGTATAATAAAAAAATTTTAATTTCTAAATAGCGCAGAATTTCAGTTCAGAATAAATAAATGAATAAATAAATAAATAAATATTTCCAAAATTTAGTTCCTTTAGTATATATATATATATTCTCTCACAGAAATAGCTAAGCCTGAGCTGCATGACGCAAGAGTTGGGGAGAAAGCGAGAATAATATATATAGTGCGGACAGCTCGTGATATGTAGCAGCTGTGGATCCTCGCCAGCAAGACATTCACGCTGTCTCCACGTGGTCTTGATTCGAGACGAATTTATATACATACATTGTACATAGACATATGAACAGGGGGATGGAGAAGGACTGGGGATGGGGGTTTTCCCCTCCCCTCTTTCTTTTCAACCACATCAGTCAGTAGTGCAGGGGTATGAGGGGGTAGAGGAAATTATTTCTCCCCATCGCCAATTATTCTTCTGAATCTGAAATTTAGTTGCTTTCGGTTGCTTTAATTTGAAATCCTTAATGCATAGAGACCTGACACAGCAAACTGAGGCCATGGTTTTATTTTGACCTCCTCGGCATCCCCTTCCACCCCACCCCCCTCTACCCGGGGGCACCTTGGCTTGGAAGATAAAAACGATTTTTTGCGTTCATTGAAAAAATTGTTTTGCATCAAATTGCAATTACTTCATGGCCCAAAAATTATTTTCTCGCTGAAAATAATATTTCAGAAGGAAGTAATTAAGAAATGCATTTAATTCACAAAGTATTCTTGTTGTGCTACCATTTTATATCTCAGTGACTAATATCGAATGGAACAATCTTACAGCTCAGAAGCACATATGTAGATTTTTTTTACTTACTTGTGGTTGTTTGATTTATAGTAACTGCATATTTGCCTGTAAAGTTCTGGGTTTATATATTTATTGAATTAATGGAGTAAAATTGCAAGTTTTGCACTAAATATGCAGAACCATGTAACTCGATAGTAAGCCTTTTTTTTTAAAAAGCATATAAGGTAATTTTATTAAGACCCAGAATACAGGTAACATTCAAAAACTATTTTTCAAATTAACCGTTTTTATTTGTGACTTTGCCATAGTAACTTGCAAAATCAAATCCTGAAACTGTAACATAAAAAAGAAACTTCTTTGATGTGATTAGTCCCTATGCTGAGAAACCCCAATTTCTGTCAGTATCGGGATATCAAATTTTTATCGTGCAATTTACTGAGTTCCTAAAAATGTGATTTCCTTTTGCTTAAGGCTTGTTGTTTTCTATAGGGATATTATACATGTAATGCATAGTTTTGTTTATTAACCAATTATCAACTGTTAAAAGCAAAATTTTTCTTTCAGACATAAACAATGACTGAAGTAAGCTCAATGTGGGTAAGAGCCTGGCCGAAGTACGCCGTCGGTAAGTCTTTCTCCGATTATCTTATCAAAAAGGTAATCCTGCTCTAGTATTGAAAGCAAGTTAATGTATTTTTTATTTCTTACTTACTTATTTATTTATTTATTTACTTATTTATTTATTTTTGTAAAAGTATAAAATTAAATGCTATATAATGTTCCAAAACCATCTACCCTGAATTACCTTTTATTTGTTGCCTCTTTCTTTATATCGTGTTAATGTATGCACACTTAAGATTAGATTACAAAACAGAAAACAGAACAGAAAAACGATGGACACATTCTTGGCATAAACGAATACCGTAATTTAGGAACTTCTAAATACTGTACTCGTTTTGAGTCTCTTCGCAGTACGATTTGAATTTTTAAAAATAACTTTTTAAAAATGAGTATGAATAAAATGCAAGGCTGCATACACTCGAATGCATTTTACCCGTTAGTTAATCATTATTAATCATTTATCCTCTATCCGAAATGAAAATATTTTCTGTCATATTTTAGATCACAACCACTTTGATCGTATGCTTGTGACGCGGCTGAAGTATATGCTGGCCAACATCACCAAAGTCAAGATTCCAAAACACATTTCAGTTCTGAATTTCACGCTGCCAACATGGCTATCAAGCCGTAAAATGGGAAAACTTCCTGACAACTGGAGACTAATAAATTCCCGCCTTTACGAGCTGGAAATGGGCCCATTTGACCTTAGGAAAGGAATACAAATACAGGAGTTGTCGAGTCTCCCTTTCACGATTACAGCAGACGAGGACTCAATCGTGGAAGACTTTACGGGAGAACAATTTACTTTCTGTGGGGCGAGTAAGGACAAACTTCTGGCATATACACCAGAGCTGAAGTTTTATCTTTTCAACTTGGAAAAAAGGACCGTGTGTCAGGTTTTACAATGGCGGCCAAAGGCGTCACCATGGTTACACCACGCCGCCGCTAACTTCCGGTGCGTGAGTAACGACAATGGGAACTTCATGGTGATCACTGGCCCGTCCGAATGCACGGGTCACACGCGCGAGATGGAGCGACTCTTCATGCTGGTCTGTACGACGAAACTTCTGAACTGTGAGACCATGGAATACACGGTAAGTTGATATTGAAGCTCTAACCTTTTTTATGCATGCAGGGTCAAGTGGTAAATGAGAAAACATGTGCAAAGCTACTTTTTCCTCCACTCTTCTTTACAGGGACAACTGTTTTTGTTTACAGGGACAACTGTTTTTGTTAACAAATTTATAATGTGCCCCCTGAAATTTTTAATGTAGTTTAAATGGAAGCACATAATAATAATAATAATAATAATAATAATAATAATAATAATAATAATAATAACGTCTTTTATGCTCGATATGAAATTTTATATGAAGGTTTATTAAATATGATTCTCTAACTGACTTAAACATCCATGTAAACACAATTTTAATGATGCTTATTCAAACGAATTCGAAACTCCGATGTACCGGTACTTAAGTATGCTTTAGGTATTTTATTTAGATCTAAACCACCAGGATATATGGTTAATGCATTGTTGTATTGTGTTTCTTTTAACAAGACTATTTCACATATTTTTGTTCCAGAATTTGACGTTTCCCACCACCGGTTGGCCAGCCGCCATTGCCGTTGATCCCCGGCCCGGAAACGAGCACATTATAACGTACGTCGAGGCTAAGAGCAATGCGCCGGTGATAGACTTCGAGAGTATAATAAACCACGGCCCGCTTAAACAATACGACGTACTGAAACAAGAAGTGACGTTGACCTACGAAGAGCCAGGCTTCAATGCGATGTCAGTGCTTTTAAAGTACTCCCCCGATGGAGATCTGATACTAACACTGGACTACAACCGGGACTTTCAAGATTACCCGAGTAAGAGGGACCATGTGCTCATTTTCCGATCTGACGTGCTACTTCCGCTTTGTAAGATCGAGTTCCGGAAGCCGGTGCTTCCGGGTCCGCGGCTCCTGGCGCCGTTCTTGGACCAGGCTATCATACAGGAGCACGAGACCCTAAAAACCTACCAGGAGATAGCACTGAACTTGTTCCCAATGGTTTCCAACGATGGCCGCACCGTCGCCTTGCTTTACCTTAAGACTAACGATAGAGATCACATGGACAATGCGGTAGTGCGCAACTACGTGCTTCCCCCAGTAATGAGAACCTTAAAGGCTCTCTGTCGAACTGTGATTCTCCGCAAATTTACCAGGCGGAATTTGCAAAAACTCCCCTTACCTCGTGAATTGATCAACTATCTCCAGTGCACGACGAGACCGATCAATCCCGGACCAGTGTTCCAACGACGTTTTGATTGGCAGGAATATCAAACAAGAGTAGAAAGTGAAAAACAGCAGTCTGATATATCACCTGCTGACACTACTCCACTAATAACATAGGTCGAATTCTCAGTTGAGTTGTGACTTTACATAAGTCTTTTGTATGTAGGAGCGTTTTGTCTCTGTGCTCACACATGTGTGCGTACACATGTATACGCTCCATAGCCGAAATTTCTATAGTAGTCATTTTTCATATTCCTCATTAACTTCAGTATACATGCAGCCACTCCCGAACGTATCAATTGTCTTTTAGCATGATGGACTGAATGCGAAGGTCATCAGCGATAATGTTAATAAGATAGGAAACCAAATATACTGAAAGGTTTCCATTTTTCGAGAAGGACTTTGACCTGGCATGGCTTTGAATACTCGAGTCAAGGTCGCTTAAAGTTAATTACTAATCATCGGTGTCAGTAGATTCGTCTCTTCAGGTCAGTTCTTATATTTGACGTCACTGAATGCCGAATGCAAAGATCTTGAGGTATTACTTCTTTTTATTTTTTCATTGTATTAATTGTTGCATTTTATATTTGGGGTCTCTTTGTCAGCATGTATATGCTTGTCTTTTATCTGTTTAATTTTACCCGGTTATGTAGTATTATTTTCTTTCTTATTAATATACGTTGCTTTTTTCTGTTATNATATACGTTGCTTTTTTTCTGTTATATTTTTATGGGCTTGGTATATACTGTTTTTGTGAATATTTAGACATATCAACGGCGTGGACAGGTAAAAAGTTAAACAGAAACGTTACACGTAGTCCGATTTTTTTTTTTTTTTTTTTTTTTGCTATTTACCAAAATATCCTGATCAAAAAGGAAGCTTGTTGTTTAGCATAGGTCTACTTATTACAGTTTTATCTATTGTAGACTGCAGTAGGTGGCTTGTTACAAGGAAATAGAGTCCCAAAATACCGTTATTTAGTGACTTTTAATGCGCGTTTTTCAACTTTTGCCATAGGGCGTACATCAAGTCACGTACTTAGAGGAAACCGCAAATTTATGTTTTACGGAACTGGGAAGTGACCTGCATGTTAGGTCTGTGAATGTTTAAGGTGTTAAGAATAGATTTGGGCACAGCTGGAGCTTTGAAAACTTCGCTTAAAAAAGAATACTGACGTATAACGACATGAGGCGGTAATGGTTTGTTTCGTGGTGATATCCGTAACTAAAGACTTTGAACCTCGCTTGTCACTCAACTCAACTTGTGTTTAATTGCCCTGGGGAGAAAATGAACCATGCCTTCGTAAAACTGTTTTTTTTTAGTGATTGCTTGTAGTGAATGTTAAATTTGATGGAAAAAAAAGTAAGAGACTAAATACTTTTTTCATCTACCGCTTTAGGCATGGGGTTGCGACCCATCATCACGGGGAACTGATCATCCACGAGTGAGCCATGAAACTTGAAAGCAGAAAAAAAAATGAGACGCTGAAACCCTTATTTATTGACTCTAATGTCCATACAATAGGAAGACCTATTATATAAAGCAATAAGCAATACAGGTCTCACTAGAAACAGGAGATAATTTTGTATTAAGTGTATTGTTAGTAGAGTTTGTTACCTTAATTATGATATTTGTGTTGTCTGGGAGAAGAACACATTACAATGTATGAAATACTATAAAACAAGTGGTGTTTTGAATCACGTTATGTCGCTTCATTTTATAATCGTACGTGTGATATTAGCTGTTTGTTCTTCATACGAGTACATGATATTTATAAATCACATGATTTCTGCGTAGAAAAAATAATTCCAAAAATAACGGAATAAATTTATTTGTCAACTCATTATTTGATCTTTGTAAATGTCTCAGCATGTTTTATCTTGGACGTTTTATTCGTCCATATTTTGTATATAAGTAAATCATATAAAGTAGAACAATACAAATGTACTATTACTTACGTGGTGTGCGTATATTTACTAGAGATGAAAAGAAGGAAAGGTAGAAGCAGGCTGCCTGTTTCTAGTACTTATTATGAAAATATAAAGATGTTTTCATACAGACATGTGTACAAGGCAACACTGAATACTAGCCATCAATGAATGAATACAGAATTTGTAAATACAAAAATATAGAGGAAGAATATAAATGTAACACATCTTGAATTTATGAAAAGTAACCTGTTTGTCACACATATACAGTATTTAACATACTCAGGGTGTTATGGATAAAAGCCCCCTCACAATGGTAATAATATCAGTCAGTTGCAAAATAGAATATAGATAACGCGATATATTTGTGCGGCGTGAAAAATGTTAATGGGATGGCGCGCTCTGATGGCGCGCTCTAGGACAATTATTCAAACTAAAAAGAACAGTCAAATCTATGAGGATGGCTTAAAGAAATATAATCAACTTGTGAACTGTGGTGTATATGAGGCACATGATTGGTCTGGTAGAACAATACAAGACACCCTAGAGAGAAGGAAGTACCGGTAAAATAACGCGTGGGAAGGGAAATCACACGGCCAACATGTTGATCGAGACATTTACTGCAAAAAAAAAAAAAAAAAAAGCTTCACAAACAGGACATTTTCAAGTTCTTCAGGAAATTTGGAAATGATAAAACATAGAATTCGTAGAAGAGAAAAAGAGCTTTATTGAGAAAGAAAAATTATATTTCCTGATGTTGTGCCTTTGGAAAAAGTCGTTTTTCCCTTCTGTTTAAATATTGACCTCGCGTAGTGTCATTATGCAATAGAAAACGATTTTATATCCGGGAATTTGCTGTGTGATAAAACTATAAGTTTGTTTTGCCTTGATGTTGAAATAAACCACGTTTTTTTGGTTGGAATTTCATCAGTTTTTAACCGTTGTCATTTTAAAATATTTCTTTAAACAGTATAAACCATGTCCACACTGCAGATATATGTATGCACTGTTTGTCACACATAAAATTAATTAATATTAATATATTTATTTTAAAAGTCTGACTGTGAAATAAATTCACTTATGACAAATACACTATACTTACGTGTCATCTAAGTATAACTGGGATTGCTATGTTGAAGTAAGCCGTATCAGAACTTCAGTAACCCAAAATATGGAGTTTTACAGAGGGGTCGGTCTCCACTCACCCCGTCATCTGGAAAACTAGTCAGTGGTAATGTATTAATTTTTTAGTGAATCTACCAGGTATAGCTTCGTAGAGAGATAACAATTACGTAAGACGGAAATAGTTTTAGAGAATAGTTTCATGAATTAGAAGCATATCTGTGAATATCTAATGAAAAATCCATCTCTGACTCTGGTAGGGCGCAGTCACTTTACACAAAAGGCGCACACCCGCTCTGTGCGACATCTGGGGGCTGGTAATGACAACGTGGAAAGCAGACGATCTTCAAGCAGTGACACAACCAAGCTCATAATTATCTTGCAATTACCTGTCGTTGAAATGTTTAAGTAATTATTCTATTATTACAGGTATTGTGCGTCCAGTGGTATTGTCATTCTAGTAGAAGCTCTTGTCCTGTCCCCGTGTAATTATAACCTTTTATACTTGGCCTACTTTAACTTGGCTTTGTATTATTTAGGTGTCCGAACCAAGCATAACACTGTGGTCATGCTACATGCATACTACACTGCCTTGCACAGCGATCATGGTCGTCTCGGCTTCAGAGCGCGCTTTTTTGTAAACTTATGCGTTTTGAGAACTCGCAGGATGTTAAAACGGCATTAACCTACTAAATCGGGATAGTGTCATAGAATGGTGCCAAAGGAAGTATTTGTTGCCTGATGTGAATACATCATTGCACTAGTAAGGATAAAGTATACTGCAGGTGGGTATCACACTAGGACTATCAAAACTCCGAGAGGGGAGACAGTTTATACACTTGTGGTATTTTGGAAAGCGTTCATTATCCCTAATGTAATAAGATATTTGTACCGAAATGCTCTTATTGTTAGATCACTGTGATGTGATGCCATCAGCAGCGTGGTACATGTATACAACTTGCTATAAAAATTGACCACAAGACTTGGTTAAGCTATCCCCTAAAGCTTGGGTCATGGCATTTTAAAGGTTTATAGTTATCGTACCGTTAGTTAAGTGAACATAAAGGTATCCCTTTTCCACATATGTAATATCATTTGAACATTTTTAACGGGAGGATTTTGATCATGGTGTCCACGGGCTTTTATTTTATTTGACTAATAATACAGTGTATGTCACTGTATTTTTACCCATTCTCATGCAGATTTAAAAGAATGTAGCAAAGATGTAAGTGTCTTTGCTACATTCATAGGAAATGTTTCTGGACAAGAAAAATAATACTTTGCAATCTTTATTTCTTACAGGTGAGTTCCTACCAAGACATAATTTGCACCGAACGAACTGTAAACGACTGAATCTGTCCAACAAAATTCTTACAGAACAAGCTGGATGAAAATGAATGGTACAGTTGGTAGAGGGTTGAATGCATTGAACGCAGCGTTACATGTCAACGGTGTGGGTGAATTAAACTCAACGAAAGCAGTGACACAAATGAGCAAAATTTGGATGATACCATTTTTCGTTATTTTAGTGGTTTTAATTTACGTCGGTAACTGCATAGTGCTCGTGGCATACTGCAAAGTGAAAAGATTACGGAAAAGTAACAGTGTTATGATGGTGCAGTTAACAGTTACGGACCTAGTTGCTGGCCTCACTCTCATCTTTCAAGCAGTTACAGTATCGTACGATTACTTATTTGAGGATGTTCATATTTGTATATTATGGTATGCCCTGATATTTTTCCGCGGCATGGCATCAATTCTTTCCCTTTTCATGATTACAGTGGACAGATATTTTGCAATTACAAACCCACTAAAACACATGTCACGTAACAAAACAGCGTGGTTCGTTGGCGTAGCTCTCTCAATATGGATTCCAGCATTTGTTCTTGGATTCATCATGCCGATTCTGTGGCATAAGGACTGGTCATTTGAAAAAGACAAAGAGTGTGAACTGCCCTTGGTCATCCCAGAGATCTATATAAGTTGGATCGTGGTTCCATTTTTTGTAATTAACGCTGCTGGTATAGTATTCATGTACATAAGGATAGAGCATGCACAAAGGAAGTCAATGTCGCGTGACAAGCACAAGATGGCTAAACTATCACGCACAGTTGCTCTTGTGCTGGCGTGTTTTTTCACGTGTTGGACACCTATTATATTAATGCTCGGCGTTCACAGTTACACCTACATGAACTATAATCCCCTCACGTTGAATATTCGACTGGCACTCGCTCAGTTAACGGCTCTGAACTCTGCCGTGAATCCTGTTATTTACGTGATCAGATACCGGCAGTTTAGGAAGGCGTTTCTAGAGGCTGTTGGTAGTAAGAGAGTTCGTCCTGCCTCGAAGGTTACAGAGTCCAGTGCTCTGTGATGCGCTGTCTCATAAAGGAGAAGTCAGGATTGAGCCTTTGCGCATGCGTGCTGCAACCTCGGATAATTAAGAAAGATGCACTTTTCCTCCGAACATTAACTCTCTTTTTAGTGACATTAACTTTACAGACATTTATCATATTTGCAAGGTTCTAACCTAGTTTAAAAATCAAAATATGCTAATTAATATGGCGAAAGAAGGACGATTTTTAACTAGTGTGTAGTCGTGTGTGCGTGTCCCCGCACATGTATTATTTTTCTTTCACAAAATGTCCATTGGATATGAATAGATGGTGCTGAAAGCATGAAAAATTCCCATAAGTAAAAGAGTAAGATGTGGATTGAAGATTTGTCTCTGGAATTAATCTAATCTTAGCTCTTCCTAAATGCGGAGTTTATTTTCTATTCGATTGTTATGTACTATACCACCAATTTCTATTATTTTTTATATTGCTATGGTAATAAATTCATGCTTTTTAATGTAGTTATTTCAAGATGTAAGAGCCGGTAATATCTATTTAACTTCGAATCATCTCTCTGGCTGTTCCTCTTTAGATCCAGNTATTTTAATGGGCTCGGTATATACTGTTTTTGTGAATATTTAGACATTTCACCGGCGTGGACTGGTAAGAAGTTAAACAGAAACGTTACACGTAGTCCGATTTTTTTGCTATTTACCAAAATATCCTGATCAAAAAGGAAGCTTGTTGTTTAGCATAGGTCTACTTATTAAAGTTTTAACTATTGTAGACTGCAGTAGGTGGCTTACTGAGATGTAGGCAGTAACAAGGAAATAGGGTCCCAAAATACCGTTGTTTAGGGACTTTTAATGCGCGTTTTCCCCCTTTTGCCATAGGTCTTCCATCAAGTACTTAGCGTAAAACGCAAATTTATGTTTTACGGAACTGGGAAGTGATCTGCATGTTATGTCTGTGAATGTTGAAGGAGTTGAGAATAGATTGGGACACAGCTGGAGCTTTGGAAACTTCACTTAAAAAAGAATACTGACGTATAACGACATGAGGCGGTAATGGTTTGTTTCGTGGTGATATCCGTAACTAAAGACTTTGAACCTCGCTTGTCGCTCAACTCAACTTGTGTTTAATTGTCATGGGGAGAAAATGAACCATGCCTTCGTAAAGCTGTTTTTTAGTGATTGCTTGTAGTGAATGTTAAATTTGATAGTAAAAAAAAAGTAAGAGACTAAATACTTTTTTCATCTACCGCTTTAGGCATGGGGTTGTGACCCATCATCACGGGGAACTGTTCATCTTCGAATGAGCCATGAAAGCACAAAAAAAAAAAAAAAAAAATGAGACGCTGAAACCCTTATTTATTGACTCTAATGTCCATACAATAGGAAGACCTATTATATAAAGCAATAAGCAATACAGGTCTCACTAGAAACAGGAGATAATTTTGTATTAAGCGTATTGTTAGTAGAGTTTGTGACCTCAAGTATGTTATTTGTGTTGTCTGGAAGACGGACACATTACAATGTATGAAATACTTTAAAGCATGCGGTGTTTATAATCACGTTATGTCTCTTCATTTTATACTCGTACGTGTGATATAAGCTGGCTGTTTGCACTACATACAAGTAGAGGATATTTATAAATCACATGATTTCTGCGTAGAAAAAAATTCCAAAGATAACGGAATAAACAGATTTGCCCATTGATTTTTGTAAATATCTCGGCATATTTTAGCTTGGACGTTTTATTCGTCCATATTTTGTATATAAGTAAATCGTATAAAGAAGAACAATACAAATGTATTATTACTTCCGTGGTGTGCGTATATTTACTAAAGATGAAAAGAAGAAAAGATGAAGACAGGCTGGCGGTTTGTAGTACTTGTTATGAAAATTTAAAGATGTTTTAATATGGATACGTGTACAGGGCAACACTGAATACTAGCCATCAATGAATGAATAAAGAATTTGTAAATACAAAGATATAGAGAAAGAATATAAGTGTAACACAATTTGAATTTAACCTGTTTGGGACACATATACACTATTAAACATACTCGGGATATTATGGGTATGTTATAACTACATGTATATAATAGCCAGCATTCCCGTTAAAAATAATAAAAAAGAAAAATGAATAGTCTAGTGCAAAGATACAAAATGAAATGTAGATAACGCGATATATTTGTGTGGCGTGAAAATTTTTAATGGGATGGCGCGTTCTGATGGCGCGCTCTAGGGCATAATTATTCAAACTAAAATGAACAGACAAATCTATAAGGATGGCTTAAAGAAATATGATCAACTTGTGAACTGTGATGTGTATGAGGCACATGATTGGTTTGGTAGAACAATACAAGACGCCCTAGAGAGAAGGAAGTGCCGGTAAAATATCACTTGCGAAGGGAAACCACACGGCCAACATGTTGATAGAGACATTTACTGAAAAGAAAAAAAGCTTCAGAAAACAGGACATTTTCAAGTTCTTCAGGAAACTTGGAAATGATAAAACGTAGAATTCGTAGAAGAGAAAAAGAGCTTTACTGAGAAAGAAAATTTATATTTACTGATGTTGTGCCGTTGGAAAAAGTCGTTTTTCCCTTCTGTTTAAATATTGACCTCGCGTTCTGTCATTATGCAATAGAAAACGATTTTATATCCGGGAATTTGCTGTGTGATAAAACTATCAGTTTGTTTTGCCTTTATGTTGAAATAAACCACGTTTTTTGGTTGGAATTTCATCAGTTTTTAACCGTTGTCATTTTAAAATATTTCTTTAAACATGTCCATATTGCAGATACATGTATGCACTGTTTGTCACACATAAAATTAATTAATATTAATATATTTATTTTAAAACTTTGACTGTGAAATAAATTTACCTGTGACAAATACACTATACTTACATGTCATCTAAGTATAACTGGGATGGCTATGTTAAAGTAAGTCGTATCAGAACTTCAGTAACCCAAAATATGGAGTTTTACAGAGGGGTCGGTCTCCACTCACCCCGTCGTCTGGAAAACTCGCCAGTGACAATGTATTGATTTTTTAGTGTATCTACCAGGTATAGCTTCGTAGAGAGAGAGATAACAATTACGTCAGACGGAAATAGTTTTAGAGAATAGTTTCATGAATTAGAGGTATATCTGTGAATATCTAGTGAAAAATCCATATCTGACTCTGGTAGGGCGCAGTCAGTTTATACAAAAAAAAAAAAAAAAAAATCGTACATCCGCTCTGTGCGACATCTGGGGGCTGGTAATGACAGCCTGGAAAGCAGACGATCTTCAAAGCAGCAGTAACACAACAAGGTGAGTAATCATCCTACAATTACATGTCGTTGAAATGTATAAGTAATTATTCTATTATTACATGCATTTTGCGTCCAGTGAAATTGTCATTCTAGTAGAAGCTATTGTCCTGTCCCCGTGTAATTAACCTTTTATACTTGGCCTACTTTAACTTAGCTTTGTATTATTAAGGTGTCCGAACCAAGCATAACACTGTGGTCATACTACATGTATGCTACGCTGCCTTGCACAGCGATCGTGGTCGTCTCGGCTTCAGAGCGAGCTTTTTGTAAACTTATGCGTTTTGATAACTCGCAGGATGTTAAAACAGCATTAGCCCACTAAATCGGAATAGTGTAATAGAGTGGTGTCAAGGGAAGTATTCGTCACCTGATGTGAATACATCATTGCACTAGTAAGGATAAAGTATACTGCAGGTGGGTATCACACTAGGACTATCAAAACTCCGAGAGGGGAGACAGTTTATACACTTGTGGTATTTTTGAAAGCGTTCATTATCCCTAATGTAATAAGATATTTGTACTGAAATGCTCTTATTGTTAGATCACTGTGATGTGATGCCATCAGCAGCGTGGTACATNTGTTTATAAGATATGTATTTCCTCAAGATTTTAACTTACAACAATTTCCTATAGGATCCTATAGGAAATCCTATAGGAAAGGTGCCCTATAGGATCCTATAAGATTTCCTATAGGATCCTATAGGAATCTTATAGGATCCTATAGGAAATTTTCGTAAGGGTGTATACAACTTGCTATAGAAATTGACCACAAGACTTGGTTAAGCTATCCCCTAAAGCTTGAGTCATGGCATTTTAAAGGTTTATAGTTATCGTACCGTTAGTTAAGTGAACATAAAGGTATCCCTTCTCCGCATATGTAATATCATTTGAACATTTTTAACGGGAGGATTTTGATCATGGTGTCCACGGGCTTTTATTTTATTTGACTAATAATACAGTGTATGTCACTGTATTTTTACCCATTCTCATGCAGATTTAAAAGAATGTAGCAAAGATGTAAGTGTCTTTGCTACATTCATAGGAAATGTTTCTGGACAAGAAAAATAATACTTTGCAATCTTTATTTCTTACAGGTGAGTTCCTACCAAGACATAATTTGCACCGAACGAACTGTAAACGACTGAATCTGTCCAACAAAATTCTTACAGAACAAGCTGGATGAAAATGAATGGTACAGTTGGTAGAGGGTTGAATGCATTGAACGCAGCGTTACATGTCAACGGTGTGGGTGAATTAAACTCAACGAAAGCAGTGATACAAATGAGCAAAATTTGGATGATACCATTTTTCGTTATGTTAGTGGTTTTAATTTACGTCGGTAACTGCATAGTGCTCGTGGCATACTGCACAGTGAAAAGATTACGGACAAGTAACAGTGTTATGATGGTGCAGTTAACAGTTACGGACCTAGTAGCTGGCCTCACTCTCATCTTTCAAGCAGTTACAGTATCGTACGATTACTTATTTGAGGATGTTCATATTTGTATCTTATGGTATGCCCTGATATTTTTCCGCGGCATGGCATCAATTCTTTCGCTTTTCATGATAACATTGGACAGATATTTTGCAATTACAAACCCACTAAAACACATGTCACGCAACAAAAAAACGTGGTTCATTGGCGTAGCTCTCTCAATATGGATTCCGGCATTTGTTCTTGGATTCATCATGCCGATTCTGTGGCATAAGGACTGGTCATTTGAAAAAGACAAAGAGTGTGAACTGCCCTTGGTCATCCCAGAGATCTATATAAGTTGGATCGTGGTTCCATTTTTTGTAATTAACGCTGCCGGTATAGTATTCATGTACACAAGGATAGAGCGTGCACAAAGGAAGTCAATGTCACGTGACAAGCACAAGATGGCTAAACTATCACGCACAGTTGCTCTTGTGTTGGCGTGTTTTTTCACGTGTTGGACACCTATTATAGTAATGCTCGGCGTTCACAGTTACACCTACATGAACTATAATCCCATCACGTTGAATATTCGACTGGCACTCGCTCAGTTAACGGCTCTGAACTCTGCTGTGAATCCTGTTATTTACGTGATCAGATACCGGCAGTTTAGGAAGGCGTTTCTAGAGGCTGTTGGCAGTAAGAGGGTCCGTCCTGCCTCGAAGGTTACAGAGTCCAGTGCTCTGTGATGCGCTGTCTCATAAAGGAGAAGTCAAGATTGAGCCTTTGCGCATGCGTGCTTCAACCTCGGATAAGAAAGATGCACTTTTCCTCCAAACATTAACTCTCTTTTTAGTGACATTAACTTTACAGACATTTACCATATTTGCAAGGTTCTAACCTAGTCTAAAAATCAAAATATGCTAATTAATATGGCGAAAGAAGGACGATTTTTTAACTAGTGTGTAGCCGTGTGTGCGTGTCCCCGCACATGTATTATTTTTCTTTCACACAATGTCCATTGGATATTAATAGATGGTGCTGAAAGCATGAAAAATTCCCATAAGTAAAAGAGTAAGATGTGGATTGAAGATTTGTCTCTGAAATTAAGCTATTCTTAGTTCTTCCTAAAAGCAGAGTTTATTTTCTATTCGATTGTTATGTGTTATACCACCAATTTCTATTATTTTTTATATTGCTATGGTAATAAATTCATGCTTTTTAATGTAGTTATTTCAAGTTGTAAGAGCCGGTAATATCTATTTAACTTCGAATAATCTCTCTGGCTGTTCCTCTTTAGATCCGGAATTTTAACTTTCTGCCAAATACTAACGTTGCCTGCTATAATGTTTACGACGACCTGTGAATTTTCTGGGTAAGGTTAAAAGATGGAATTTGATACTTTTATCGTAGTTATCTAACCTCTAGTTATCAAATTTCATAAAATAAAAGTGGATGAGATTTCTTGTAATTTTGCAATTGATTGTAGTACTTATTTTAGAAAACGTATGAGCTTTGTAGTCTTTTTTAACAACCGCCTAATTATAAAATTTGCTGAAGTNTTTTCCTCCGAACATTATCTCTCTTTTTAGTGACATTTACTTTATAGACATTTACCATATTTGCAAGGTTCTAACCTAGTCTAAAAATCAAAATATGCTAATTAATATGGCGAAAGAAGGACGATTTTTAACTAGTGTGTAGCCGTGTGTGCGTGTCCCCGCACATGTATTATTTTTCTTTCACAAAATGTCCATTGGATATGAATAGATGGTGCTGAAAGCATGAAAAATTCCCATAAGTAAAAGAGTAAGATGTGGATTGAAGATTTGTCTCTGGAATTAATCTAATCTTAGCTCTTCCTAAATGCGGAGTTTATTTTCTATTCGATTGTTATGTACTATACCACCAATTTCTATTATTTTTATATTGCTATGGTAATAAATTCATGCTTTTTAATGTAGTTATTTCAAGTTGTAAGAGCCGGTAATATCTGTTTAACTTCGAATAATCTCTCTGGCTGTTCCTCTTTAGATCCGTAATTTTAACTTTCTGCCAAATACTAACGTTGCCTGCTATAATGTAGACGACGACCTGTGAATTTTCTGGGTAAGGTTAAAAGATGGAATTTGATACTTTTATCGTAGTTATCTAACCTCTAGTTATCAAATTTCATAAAAATAAAAGTGGATGAGATTTCTTGTAATTTTGCAATTGATTGTAGTACTTATTTTAGAAAACGTATGAGCTTTGTAGTCTTTTTTAACAACCGCCTAATTATAAAATTTGCTGAAGTGATTTTCGTCTTAAATACGCATTGAGGCGAATTTTTGGCGCTAACTTATTGAAATTTTAATTATCAACTATCAACTGTTTTTATTCAGCGCCTTACCAAACGCTTTATCAGGACATTCAAACTTTTCGCCTACTCGCGTTAACCTTTGTTCGGCACGACGTTGCACTTAGATTTGATGTTTCATGTTTTTGATTTAATTTTTTATTTCTCAATGTTGCTCCGTGATGCTCAGACGTCAATGCCGTCCAGTTCAATAAGCACATGTAGCTTTGTAGGGTATTCAGACATAGATAATATTTCTGTGGAAGGAACACTTTAACGCGGATAGTATATTAGAAGGCCGTAGACCAAGTTTGGAAGAATGTTCAGGGTAGGTCAGAAAAGGACTAAATTAGAACTGTTTATATTTCTGTGGTGATCACCAATTACTTTTTGAATTAATTTTACAGTCTAGTAAATTGATAAGGATAAATTACTTTGTAGCCTATTTAACTTGAAGTGTCAGTATTCGTTAATGCGTACATATTTACAAACATAATAATGATGAACTTCGGAATTAATATTTAGAAAGGTACCACAGCTCACAGCTTGCAATGTGTTAGATGTGATCAGTGGATGCGCTTTTAACAGAATCCGGGTTTGGAGTATCTCTATTCATAAAACAACACACAAATAGGCCTATTACCATCCTAATATTGCCAACCTTCCATCAATCAATTACCGCCAATTACAATGCAGATACATACTTATGGTTTAAATGAATTTATTATGGTGAAAATGCCGAGTAAGCGGAACTGTTCTAAGGTGTAACAGAGACACCTTGTACTGTGAACGAAACCTATTATACACCGTGTTAACCCATCAACATTTTTTTATTATCTGGATGGCGCTTAAGTCAAGGATACCTCACTTCACTGTTTACAAAACAGTCCGTGTCTCTCCGCGACCGCCGTCAGGTCAAACAAAAGTGCATTTACTCCTCTTTTCTGTTTTGACATTTGAATTGATGTAATAATAATACCCCAGTCAACTTAATTTGAACACGCTTGCAATCACGGAGTAGGTAAAAACCACACCCAGATAAGGCAATCAAGAATTAAACGGCGTCTCGCGTTCATGTCTGAGTGAGAAATTAACATCAACTTCAAAAAAGGGGCGGGGCGGTAGAGAGGAAAGGGCGCGGCCCTGTCACAATCATGTCAGAAGTGCGCACGTCATTTGGGGGCGAGAAGTGACAGCGTAAATAAGATATTCCGTCAGTCTCAATTATGAATTGCCAGCAAACCACTCGTCCGACCAACAGAACCCACGCTATACACAAGGTAGGATATTTTTACTTACTTATATGTCTCACATGGAAGATAACTGTGCGTTTCAGAAGGAAAACAAGGGTACTGAATTGCTACAATCTGGCACGTATGTTTGTTTAGTTCCAGCAATTACTTTCCCCATAGAGCAAGAATCGTATTCATGATATATGTATAGTGATGTATAGTGATAATACATGTAGCTATAGTGTCCTACTTGGGGTTAGTTGGTTGATACTGAGTGGAAGAACAATGTGTCAATTCAATTTTGCATTATCCCAATTAGTTTTAAAAGCAACCCATTTTTTCTCTCTAGCACACCTTAATAAAAAGGTGAACTTTTACCAAACCTTTTGCCTTTCACATTAATTCAAACTATCCTAATTTACTCAATACCTGTCAAGCAAAGCAAGATAATTTTAGTTTTCTCATACACCAGTGCCCCTACCAGTACCCTGTCAAAATCCTGAATCTAAAATTAATTACATGTTAAGTAGTAACCAATAGCGAGGATATCTCATATGATCGTAGATATGCATCGGTTTTTATAAGAATTATATTCATTTCGTGCGTATACCAGCAATTTGGTTGTTCAATGAAATAGAATATCATAAGATCAATCTAAACAGAAAAAGGCATGCGATATGTGTAAAGTAGAGAAAGTTCTGAAAATTAAATGCAAGTTTCAGACAAGAAAAATAGCCGGGTTTCTAAATCACTCAGGAAGAACAATAAAAAGAAGGATAACAATAACCAAAAGGCTTCTACATGTACCTCTGCTTTATGTAAATGCTGACTCTCTTGGTTTGTCAACGCGGTTCAGTGGTTATGTGCCCTTGCATGATAACAAAAACGTCTAGGAGACCATTCCCATAACCCTATCGTACTAGCAGTGATTCTTTAACATACATACCACGGGGCTGATATCAAAACAAAAGTATTGCAGGGACCGATACAATGAATGAGACGGAGTGACTGCCACGTGCGGAAGATGGGCAGGAAATCGGCCAACTACTCACAGAAAACCACTAACGCAAACGAAGATGATTGGACGGTGACCGCAATTAGGCAGTAAACGCGGGGAAAGTCCATTCTTTGATATTACCCCATTCGCGGTGATATCAGCGTGTTCTATTCAAAGTTAGGGGGCATGGGTGGGGACACGCACGATTTTCCTTTGTATGTATGACAAATAATGCACTGTTACCCCCTCGCCCGATATACACGATAGCATGCCTCGCTGGCGCTCGGCCTGCTATCGGGCTCGTGGACAGTGCATTATTTACTACATATACATCCTCAAGGAATCGCTTGGTGCGATTTTAAGTTTATCCTATAATAACAGGCCTGTCTTAAGTACAGGGCAATTATCCTGTAATTATAGGCATTTTAGGTGCAGTGAACTTAAGTCGAATTTATTGTCTATTGTCCAGACCCTGGGCAATTAACGCTTGCGACTTATGCTAAGTAACGAGGAACCCATTCCCATACCTAGATCGATCTAGCGGGACCGGTTCATCTTCAAGGGGATTTTCGCTCAACTGATATAAGCTTAAGAGGCTCAGATGTCAGCGGCTCTACTGAAGCTGTTAGGGGGTAATTAACTATCGTTCAGCAGCTTCAGTAGGCTTGGCAGACATCTAAGCCACTTAACCAGAGTGCAGTTTAGCCAGAATCCCCTCGGAGATGGACCGATACGCTAGATAGATCTAGGTATGGGAATGAGGTCTAGGATAGACTTTGTATTATTTAGGTGTCCAAACAAAGCATAGCACCCTGGCCGTACTACGCTGCCTTGCACAGTGATCGTGGTCGTCTCGACTGCAGGAGCAAGATCTTCAGAATCTTATATATTTTGGATATATAATGGTACCTACAGTTGGTTTAAACAGCAGCAAATGCATTGGAATACTGTTAAAGAATTGTGACACAGGAGGCAGTCGTCACCAGAAGGAAATAAATCTTTGCAGAAATAAGGCACGCCGTAGGTAGGTTTTGGATTATATTGTCGAGTAAAATTAGTTGCACAACAAATGTCTAGGTTGATATTTATGCTAGTTTACTGGGCCTTTTCAAATAAGTTTACATGTAGATTATAAAAAGGTACAGGGGTACATGCAGTACGCATAACACACCGCTAGATGTATGAATTATTTTAATGTTTAAAAATATTGGGATCTTCTGGTCAAATATGAGTAGGGTTGGGGTAATATAATGATTTTTTTTTCACTTTTATATCAGTTTATTACAATACTGTGTAGTAGGACTTCTTTTATAAGAATAAATGATAGGAATTCGTTGTACCGGTACATGTAATTTTAATTCTTTTATAAACACAACCATGTCGGCGTTAAAATATACGGTACGTATAGCGACAGGATTTAATATTTACTTGCGGGGGACGAACAATGCTCAAGACAGACCCCATTTACAGCGTGGGGTTGGGAAGGTTGCTTTGTTAATTCCTGAAATTACAGGTCATGTCAAATGGGGGAGGGTGGTTCACACCCAATTTTTTTTCCGGCCTTCGCATTCACTATGTTAATTGTGCGAATACTGGTTATGTAANCTTATCTAGCATCCAAAAAAGCAAAAGAAATTGTACTTACATTTTATCTCTATAAGTGTCTTGACTCATCCACCCGAACGTTTTCCTCGCGTTAGCACCAGCTACCTGTCCAAATGACACAAAAAGTCATCAACAGCCGCGATATGCTCGCTACCTGTACGGGAGGTCACGTGATCCGAACGCACATCGTTTCGAGAAGAGCTCGCGCTAAGCCGATTATCCTTTGATCTTTCTCCGCGTTACTTGTCCTTCTCTATTTAGGTCCAAGCCCACATGCAACAGAGCTCTACCTGCGCACG